GGGGGGGGCCCTGATGCCTGGTGAGATAAGGGAGGCATTGATGTCAGCGTGGTACATTGGTGTCAGTGGATGACATACCTGTCCACACTCTGCCTTATGCACCGCTGCCAGAACTATAGTTCTCATGTGAAGCAGGAGACCATTGCACCCGACAGAGCAGTAAAAGAGCCGAAAACCGAGTGCAGGAGCACTCTGCACCCTGGGAGATATGACTTTACCTTTAGATATACTTTAATTCCTCGCTATATACTGTATGTGTAGATCAATTTTGCATTATCATTGACAATCGTGTGGCGGTGCGGTTCAACAGTCTGAGGGTTCGCTGCAATTTGTGAAAGCTCAATAGTATACAAATGGAAACTAAAGAACGGGAACACTTCCTCAGGAATATCAAATAGTCAGCTTTGAAAAAAAATGGATCCTTCCTACCCAATAACATACAATGAGCAGCCGCATAGCTGAGGCGAGAATGAAAGGGAAAGCAAGCCACAGAAGCACTACAGCACTTGCCACAAAGGTTTCTTGGAAAAACATTCATATGAAACCTTCTATTATTACCGTGTTTCCCCGAAAATAAGACACTGTCTTATATTTTCTTTGGCTCAAAAAAACACACTAGGTCTTATTTTCGGGGAAACAGGGTATTATATAGCCGGGCACACCAAGCAACTTTGTACATCTTTCATCCTTATCTCTTCTTTCCTTGTACTGCCAGAGATGTCCTCACAATCCTAAGCCAATTGTTTTGTTTACAATCGCCTGTCTGCAGTTTGCACTGTTTAGTTTGTTTGATAACATCAAGACACAGAACAAAAAAGCAAGGCATCTGCTCTGTGTTCCTATTTCATTCTATGCCTTTCTTGGTTAATCTCTATAATGCACTCAGGGCCGTCTCTATGGTTATCGCGAAGGTGGTGGACGCCGGATCATGCTGTCAGCGTCTCTGTCTGGCGTCCCGCCCAGCTCACTAACGTAATCGGTTGCCAGGAGCTCGGCAGGACGCAAGCCAGAGCATCCAGCTCAGCTCCAGGCAACCGGTGACATCAGTGAGGTGGCTGGGACTCCAGACAGAGTGGCACAGGTTGCTTAGAGCTCTTAGCAACCGAGGACACTGTGGCCACCCCCCCAAGAATCACCTGCCCCCCCCTATGAGATGCCGCCTGAGGCAATCGCCTCATTATAGGCCCTGCACTCATGGAACCACTGAAGGAACAGAAAAGTGTCTGCTATCAGCAGGCAGCCTCTGTATGAGTTTACCTAAACCCCACTCTTCCTTATGTCCCATGTGATTCCAGTCAGCAAACTCTGTTAGGGCCGGTGCCGACCTACGCGATCCGGGATCGCGCATTCCCAGGATCGCGCGGTCCTGCACAATGCAGGCAGCGATTGCCACGCGGCCCCATTGATTTCAATGGGGTGACATCCGCGCGGCAATTGCAATAGAGCAGCTCCCTCCGATTGTACTTGTACTGATCTCCGGCCTTGTCTTCAGTCTTGGTCAGTTGTACCGGCTCCTCTCCTGGACTGAAATGGCTTCCTCTGATATCACAGCACACTGCGAGCTTCTCACAATGTGCATTAGAAGCTGCAGCAAGTCAGATAGTGCCCGCCTCATTTCCTGGCTGGAGGGCGTCCAGCATCATTTAGCACTTTCCCCTACAGCCTGACTGTCCCTGCCCCGCACCTTTCATTAATGGGATTTTAGTTCTTCCAATCATGGACGCTCAGCTTCACAGGTGGGTGTTACCTAGGGCAGTCTGTATTCAAATACAGCCTGCCTAAGAATGCCCACTGCTCCAGACTGACATCCAACCATCGAGGCATTTTGATATTTGCATAACTTCTCCTAAGAGGCAGCCCACTGCTTGCATCAGGGCTGACAGCTTATAAGAGTAGTACGGAGGCAGGGTGCTTTGATGTTTTCAGGACGCAATGTACTGCACCCTGCCGGCCCCTCCCACCAGCCATGATCTGCCTGCATTGCATAGAGTAGTACAAAGACCCAGTGATGACAGCCGGGTATACACACATATATTGTCTTTGCTCTACCTGTGGGCTAAACAAAGAAAATATAACAGATTCCTCCATCAAGGCTTATGAACATTGATAAAGGAATCCTCCGTTGTTTCTCTTGTATTTTGACAGCGGCCAGCAGCTGTCTGCAAGCTCCATTGGCTGCAAGCTTCATTCAGCCAAGAATTCCTTAGATCAGCTGATCATTGGAAGCCGATGGCTGATTTATCAGGAACTGGACGCATTTTGTACCGTTTATACCTGACTTTAAATTTTGTACTTCCTGTGCCAGTGACAATAGTCTCCATGACATGCATGCACAGGAAGTACAAAAATCTAAATACAAAATATATATAATATATATATATAAAACCCCCCCATCTTTTCAGAAGAATCTCATACATTAAATACAACTCAATAGGCAGTAATGTTATTACAAAAACGCGTAGTGAAGAGTGTTGTTCCCTCCCGCTCGCCGTACTCTGCCGGGTTTCCCCAGCTGACCGCATAGTGTAGTACACGTAGTCAGTGTGTGTTGGTTGTCTCAGCAGCCAGCACCGCACACACCGCCAACATGGACCGGGAAGGGATGAAGCACCGGGAGGGCCGCCCGGAGATGAGCGGCTACAGCGTATATGAAGAAGAGAACGAGAGATTAACCGAGAGCCTCCGGCTTAAAGCGAACGCCTTGAAGTCTGTAAGTCTGACACCCTCGGGCCGCCGTACCTTGGAGGGGGCTAGAGTAGTCTGGACTACAGCTCCCAGCATGCAATACACACATTTACAGGCCAGGAGGGGCTGCAGGAATTCTGGGAGCTGAAGTCCCCTGACCTAGATAGTGTTTGTGATGTGTTCCAGCTGTGTACAGTCACTGGTTCCAGCCTGACCCTTGTGCTGTGGCTGGGACACTACTTCAGTGCGTTTCCCATTTATTCGGAGCTGCCATAGCTTACCATTCTTCGGGGACAGCCATAGCTTCTCATGACATGTCATTTATAAATGTGTGTTCCTGGAAGTGTCCCTGGGTTCAATGCTGACAGCAACACACCATAAAATCGCTCTTTGTAAACACGCCACATCCTGATTGTATCTGAGTGTTAAACATGCAAGTGTTGGGGCTCATGCACAGGGCAATACAAAGTGCTGCTTTTGTATCAGTACAGCGCAGGCGTGAACGCAGGTGTATTGTTTTCTATGGGCCAGTGCACACGGTGCTTAAAGATCAGTAAACCTGAGCTGCGGTCAGATCCCTGAAATCAAAATAGAAAAATCTGTGTCTGAGGTCCTGTGCATGGAATGCATTTCTGCAAATACACTCTAATGGATCCACCGGTGTCTTAGAAACAAACTGTTACTGCCCGGCCTCCTTTCTTCCTAGAGTTCAGGCAGCTCGGACTGCCTAGTGTCCTCTGTTGCCAGGATGCAGCCAGCTCTATGCCATCTAGTGTCCTCTGTTGCCAGGATGCAGCCAGGTCCTTGTCGCCTAGTGTCCTTTGTTGCCAGGATGCAGCCAGCTCCTTGTCGCCTAGTGTCCTTTGTTGCTTGGATGCAGGCGGCTCGAGCTACCTAGTATCCTTTGTTGCCAGGATGCAGCCAGCTCCTTGTCGCCTAGTGTCCTTTGTTGCCAGGATGCACCCAGCTCCTTGTCGCCTAGTGTCCTTTGTTGCTAGGATGCAGGCGGCTCGAGCTACCTAGTATCCTTTGTTGCTATGATGCAGCCAGCTCTTTGTCGCCTAGTGTCCTTTGTTGCCAGGATGCAGCCAACTGCGCATGGAGTGCTATTTCTACACATTAGTTGCCATATTTTCATGCGGCCGTGTGCAGGAGCCCTTACAGTCAGATCCCGGCACAATTCAAATAAAGTTTCCATCGTTTATTCATATCAACATGTTCATTCATTAGTGTTCATGTAAACAGCTCACCTGCAGATCCTGCTGCCTTTCTGTGCCGGGCCAACAATGATAATCGGCTGTTATTCAAATGTTTTCTGCGCTTCAACTCTCTGCCCCTCAGATGTTGTGTTCATGGCACATTGCGCCGGTATTCTCTGAGCTCTGACAAGGCTATTGTGCACAGGCTGGTCCATAGAGAAGGCCTGGCCCGCCAGTCACTGTGCACAAGACTCCAATGGGGGATTATCGGTCACATGACCGCATGTACACACACAAAAAAAGATATTTGCATAGCCGACCTTTAAGAATGGAACCTATAAAACTGAGCTAGGATAGAGGGGCCCTTCAGAATGTGCAGCATTTCCATACTTCAGCCAAAACTTTACATTTTGGATAAACCCTGTCAGTTTTTGTGTCTCATTAGGAAGACTTCCCTTCACTTCCTGTCCCGTAGACATAACAGGAAGTGAGAGGATATATTTCCAATGTGAGGGAAATCCCCTCTTAGACAGTTGTCACGGAAACAAGTGTCCCCATTGGAAGATTTCACCTCCAATCCTGTTTTAGTGGCAGCTCAAAATGTTGTATTCACCCTCACTTCTGTTCCTGGTGACATTGGTGATCAGGACTGTGTGAGAGAATCTGCTGAACAGTCATCTAGACAGCAATAAAAACCCAACAGTGGTTCTAGCTAGGGATGCACCGATACCAGTTTCGAGTAAGAGTACCGATATTTTTTTTTTCCGGTACTCGTCGTTACCGAGTACCGGAAGTCCCATTCGGGAGGCCAGGCGACGTGTAAAGACTCGCCACCCGGCTTCCCGATGAGCAGGGAAGCCGTCCCCATGCTTCTCATCACTAGGTAATGAGAAAGCATGGAGGCGGCTTTCTGGCCAATCAGGAAGTCGGGTGCTGTGTAATGGCGCGGCTCGCGGCTTCCTGATTGGCCTGGAAGCCGGCTCCTTGCTTCCTCATCATGAGGTGACAAGGCAGCATGAAGCCGGCTTCCCGACCAATCAGAAAGCCGGGCGCCACGTCATTACACGGCGCCTGGCTTCCTGATTGGCCAGCTTCCGACCAATCAGGAAGCAGGGCACCCCATCATTACACCGACAGGTGACGAGAGAGCATGGGATCGGCTTCCTGGCCAATCAGGAAGCTGGACAGCGTGTAATGACATGCTGCCCGGCTTCCTGATACCGGAAGTATCGGCTAGGCAATTAAACATATGGGCGAGTACGAAATGTCGCCCAAATACTCGGCACCAATACTGCACCCGACTAGTATCGGTGCATCCCTAGTTCTAGCAGAACTGAATTTTGTGACCCCCCCCAAGGAGATGATGATGTGCAAGAATTCTCAGCATATTTGCAGGTTACGTTTGTAAATGTCCTTTTGCAGCGATGTAACGGCCGCGGCCACCCTGTCATCTGCACTTTCGTCTTCTCTGGTTTCAGAGTCTTCTGCCATCTTGAATGGCTGGGCCAGGATGACGTGACTCCTGCACATGTGCATAACAGTTACCTCATCCCAGCACAGAATCCTTCCAGAAATGTACACATGCTCATTGGACACAAAGCCCTGCGACGCAGGAACGCATGCGTCTATGGTGCCATTATTTCCTATTGGGGTTGTACGCAGCGCGTCACTCGCCATGCTTCGGTCATCGTCCTCGGTGATGTTTGTAAACTCTTGTCTCTGAATCAATATTGGCCGATTGTACAAGTCTTTTTTTTTTTCCCTGCACACATCTGCT